CAGCCTTTGTGGAGAGGACTCACTGGATCAGCCAGAGACTGTTTTTAATTGTTGGCCCCAGGGGTGTCCGCTGACTCCCTCATCTCCCTCTTGTCCTTGAACGAGCCCCAGGACCAGCTCCTTTCCTTACCCTGCTCTGCCTTTTCTTTCTGAGTGCCCTTTTCACGTCCTGGAGAATCTACTCCTTGTTTTGCATTTACATGTTGATGCTCTGCCTCAGGCAGGGGTCTGTGTCTGTGTGGGCCACTGAGGGAGTGGGCACACAGCGGCGCTGCATAAGCACTGGTGAATGAATCAATGTCCAAGAGGCAGCTCACACTTACATGTCCAGACTCCAACCCCAGCTGCCGTGTCCCCTCTTCAGCCCATGGAGCTCTGCCCTCCAGTCACTGAGGCCAAAATGTTGGTCTGTTTCCCTCGTACCCACGGAACCCACGTCAGGACATCCCATGGCCCCACCTGCCTGCCACACCCCACCTCTCACCGGTCAGATCCTGCTAGAACCCGGCAGCTCCTGACCCTTCGCTCCTGCAGGCTCTGCTCACATGGCACCAGGACCATCCTAGTCCACCTGGCACCCCACCCAGACTTTGTTTGCTTTCCCAGCCTTCTCCCCAGCCTCACACTGACACTGGGCACCCCATGTAATTTATGTCGTTAGACTGTTTGTGGTCTGTCTCCCCCATGCAAACATCACTCCAGGTAGGGTGACCAACGGTCCCCATTTGCTGGGCTTTAGGGCTGAGAATCCTGACCCAATCAGCCCCTCAATCCAGGGCAGACCCCTCGGTCCCCAGCTGCAGGGGCGGTGATCTTAGTTCCTGGTGCTGGGACAGTGGGGCACCCAGTGGGTACTCAGCACCTGCTTGAGAATGGGTGAATGAATGAATGGGGCACACACATGTCCCAAAGGCTCCCTGCAGTTCAACTGTGAGCCCTGGCATGGGTGACCTAGACACCTACCTTTCGTCCTTCCCAACCTGGGGCCTGAGTTCATCAGCATTTTACTCCTGGGCAGGAGTGGCCTGAGGTGGGGATGGGATTTCTGGCTAGGGTCGGGGTCGGTGTTACTGGCCAAGGCAGGCCTGCTGGGCCATGGGGCGCTGGGTGTGGTCTAAGGTCTTGGTGTGGAGGTTGGATCACTGAGCACCACTGCCACTTGGTGGCAGCACACACGTGGATAGCTGGGAAGCTGGGACCCAAGCATGCCCCTCCTCACCCCATTCCCTATAGCCCTGAACCTCCTTGAGAGGAACACAGTCATGGCCTCTGTTTGGGCCTCAGTTTCCCCCATCTGTGGAAGGCCAGGACAGCAGCAAGTCTTGAGGGAGCCTACACCCGCTCAGCTCCTGCAACCCCTCCCTGCGCCACCTCCAGGCAGGCCAGGGTTTCCAGGGGTAGCCCTGGGCCAGAGCCAGGGTTTCTCTGCATGGCCACAGGGCTCCTGGATGGTCCAAGTGAGGGGTGCAGGAACTCCGGGCAGGGGCAGCCCCACCATAGCCGGACTCTGGCCCCTCACCCCACCTGGGCCTTGATGGGGAGGGAGCCCCACGGGCAGACAAGGGCCTCCAGAGGACCCCACGGCCCCAAATCCTGGGCAAGGAGGAAACATGGTGAGCGCAGAGCCACAGGCTGCCAGCCCCTAAACCCTGACCCGGGGTAGGAGTGGGGAGTCTGGGACCCCTCCCTGACCCCCACTCCCCCAGCGTCCCATCCCTCTCTCAGTTCCTGGCTTGACCCGGCCACTTTATGGGGACACTAGAGGGGGCCTTCAGGAAAGGGCGCCCCTGCTCCACCCCCCTCCGTCGTGGGGCTGAGCACGAGCAGGGGTGGACAGGTAGAACACCACCCTTCCTCCCACCCTCCCTCCCACACATGGCCTGGGGGCAGGCCGTCTGGGTATTGGCATCTCTAGCCTATGGGGTGTCCTCGGGGACAGCCTGGGGGCTCGCACGTGGTGGGGGGTGAGCAGGCTCCATCTGCAGTCTGTGGATCACCCTCGCCTCTGGAGGCAATCCCACCTCCTACCTGGAGGCCCCATATGAACAGGTACACCTGGGCCCCGTAATCCTCCCCGCCAGCCCACTTGCGCCAAGGGGCTACCTTGCCCCTCACACCCCATCTGTGTCCTCAAGGGAACAGGCGAGCTAGGTGGACAAATGTTTACTGAGTGTGGGGTGCACTGGCTTGCCCCCGCCAGCATGCCGGGGACAGCAGCTGCCATAAAGGGAAGGAGAAGGAGGGACAGCGGAGCCGGGCCCTGGGGGTAGGAGTGCCTTTGCAGCCCAGCCGACTGTCTGGGGCCAGGCCTGGGGCGCCCTCCAGGAGCACGCGGTGGTCAGGCACAGAGGATGTCCAGCCTCCGACGGTGGCAGCTCAGGAGGGGCGGCCTGGTGGTCCTTGGGAGCCAGCATGAGAGTTCTGTGGGGCACATCTGACAGCCCAACTTCCGGGTGACCCCCGATCCGGGGTGTGGAAATCCCACTGCAGGGCCAAGGGCCCCTCTGGGTGGCCCTCAGAGAGTGTGATACTTGGGAGAATGGCACATCCCGGCAGGGGGCGCTTGAGGCCCCAGAAGTGGCCAGCCTTCCCTGGACGGGCCGGGCTGGGGGGCCGGGGCTGGAAGGTGACCTGACCTCTGGGAGGGCTGGTGCAGGGGGTCAGGTGGACGCCCAGCCTGGGCAGTAGGGGCCACCCAGCATGGGGACTGCAGTCAGTATGGGAGTGCTCTGGGCGGGAGCTGGAAGCGGTGCTGAGCTGCAGATGGTGTGGGGTCACACTCTGCTCTCCAGGGCCCTGGGAAAGCTCTGGCAGCCATCAGGCAGCGGCCAGGCCCTTGTCCTCGGGCCAGGGATGGTGGCCACGACCACAGGCGGTCCAGAGAGAGGCTGCACCTAGCTGAGACAGGGCAGGTCAGAGGCCAGGCCATCTGGGAGAGAGGGCAGCCCACCCAGCCATTCTGTAGGCCTTCACCAAGGGGGTTCAGGAAGGGGCTGAAAGTCCTTCATCTGACCCAAAGCCCTGGGCCCAGCCTGAGGGCCCCCAGGGAGCTGCGCCTCTGGGGAGCCGGAAGGAGGCTGGCCCCACAGCCTGGGTTCAGGTGAGCCACCTCCAAATTCTGAGGCCTGGCTTTTGCTGCCAGAGGCCTGGGGGCCCAGATATGAGCCGGCCTCTGCTGCACCCCAGCATTCAGCCAGGGCACGCGCTCGTCCTTGATGAGGCTCCTGGCCTCAGTCTGCTGTCCCCTGGGTGGCAGCTGGAAAGAGAGGAATGGGGGTGCTGGTTCAGCCTACCCAATGCCAACCTTGTCTGGGGGCTCACCCTCCTCCAGTCACCCCCCCATGGCAGCAGGAGGAAGGAGAGGGAGCTGCAGACCCCAAATGCTCAGGGCTTACTGGGCAGGCCCTTCCAGGCTGCCCAGTCCTGGAGAGCCAGTGCATGGCAGCAGGCCAATGTCCCGCCTTCAGGGGCAGTCCACCTGGACCCCAAAAGCAGTATGCACTCCCACTTGAGCCAGGCCCAGCCCCTCTGCTCTCGGGCCTGTCCCTGGGGTCCTGGGACCCACCCAGCGTGGCACGGAGGCTCTGGCAGTGGCTGAGACCTGCTCCCAGGTCACCGGGCTGGCAGTGGGTGGAGCCCCAGTCCAGACACAGGCCCCCAGGGCGACCATCACCCTTTGGGCTGTGATCTGCTAGAGGGGACCTTTGCTGGGGAAGGGGACCCAGACTTGGCTGAAAAGCTCCTCGGGGGTTGGAGGAGGTAGAAGACACAGGTCTAAGAGATGCTCCCCAGGCTCTAGGGCATTTCCAGTGGGGCAGGGGGCAGGATTGGGGCTGCCCTGGAGCCACGGAGACCTGGGCCGCAGGCTGGCCCCGCCCCCTCCCATCCTCCTCTGGCCCCCTCGGCTCCTGCAGTCTGCTCTCCCCTCAGCAGCCAGAGGGCTCTTGTCCATGCAGGTGGCAATGCCTGCTCCCCACTTACATCCCGTCGCCCCTCTCAGGACCCCCAGGCAGAGGCCACCCTCCTGGGCCACATACAGAAGATCCCCCATGCTTAGCTTTGTCTCCTGCTAAGCCCGAGGTCCCAGGAGTCTGGGCCTAAGTGACTTGGCTGGGCGAAGGGGGGCTGAGGCACATCCCGAGTCCCTGGACAGTTGGAACCAGAGCCCTGGTCAGGCATGGTGGACGCTCAGGAAGGAGGAAGCCCCACCACTGGTGCAGTGACCTGGGGGATGGGCACTTGCAGTGGACCTCCAGGGCCCTTGACCTCTCAAGTCAGGGGTGGGGGGCCAGGCTGGTCTGCCTTTGCCTTGGCTCAGAGCCTGGCCCCACTTCCAGGCAGGTGGCCCCTCTGTCCCCCACCAATGCCCAGTCTCCTGTGCAGGGCTCACACCCCCACCCTAAGCGTGGGAGACAGGGATCAGGCTCGGAGCTGAGGTTGGAGTCCAGCCCTCGGCCTCCTGCAGCTCTGGGGCCCAAGACCCAGCGGGGCCACTCACTGCACTGAAGGTCACAGAGCTGCTGGGGGGCGGAGAAGAGCACATCGGTCCTCCAGCCCTGTGGGCGCGGGGCAGCTCGGTCAGCCCAGCCTGAGGCCTCCCCCGCACCCTGACTGCATCCCCCAGAGCGACGGCCTGGGGAGGCTGCTGGGCTGACAGGCCCCCCGAGGAGCTTTGTTGGTTGATGACAGGGAAGCAGGTCTGGGACTGCAGTAGGTGGGTGGGGGCTGGGTGGGGCAGCACCACCCACCTGGATGCAGGTGTTGGGTACACATGCCTCGTCCCTGGGAATGTTCACAAAGGCCACCGCAGGGTCAGCCATGAAGTCCCCCTGGGTGGAAGAGGTGTCGGTCATAGGCAGCGGCGGGGGAAGACCGGCTCACACAGCAGAGTGGCCTGCACCCCTCCACACTGGGCGGCCTCCAGGGGCTGACTCAAGGCCTCGTGGACAGGAAAGGGGTCAGCCACCCTCCCCAGGAAGGAGCCCCCCTCCCCACCGGGCTCACTGAGGCTGAGGGGAGGGCCGTGGCCCCGAGAACTGGGCGGCAGGCAGGGGGCCGTGACTTCCTCTGGTGACACAGGTGCACCTGGAAATGGGCAGCGCTGGGCGAGAAGAAGGTGACCCGGAGGTGGCCCTGAGAGGCTGCTGGCTGGACGGTCATCTTCCAGGCTGTGGAGGTAGAGGGTTGAGGCCCAGCACCCCCCACTTGCCCTCCTCCCTCCCACTGACCCAGCACCCTGTCATCCCACCTGCCTGACCAAGAGGCATCACGGGAGCAAAGAAAAGGGCGGTATTTCCTGCATCGGCAAGGCAAAGGCCCCAGGCCCGCCTCCCTGCCCTGCCGCCCCATGGAGAGCTCACCTTGGAAGCGTCGCTCTTGGAAAGGGCACCTCACCCGGAAGCCCCGGCTGGTGGAGAACTGCAGAGAAGTCTTGAGGCCTGAGGCCGTGGCAGTGTGTGGGGGGCTGGCTGGGGGCTGGGACAGGCTGGGCCTCCCCCCAGGATCCCTTAGCTCCACCCTCAGACCAGGATGGGGGTCAGAGGGGTTCCTGGGAGGCTGGACCCCAGGGCTGGGCAGGGTCTGGGAGTGTGTGTGGCTGCATGCCCCCTGCCCCCGAGCCCCGGACCCCTCTACCTCCTCCTCGCACCCCGCATTCCGTGCTGGTCGTGCCCAGGGCAGGCTGCAGCTTGGCCCACTCACCTTCAGGCAGAGCTGGGGCTGTGCGTCCACCAGCGGGTACTGCACCTGCGGCGGGGCTCAAGTCAGGCCCCCGCCATCCACGCCCACCCCCGACCCCGCCTGGAGGGTACTCACCCTGCCGTGTGCCGGCCGGCCGGAGTGCTCCAGGTTGTGGCAGAGGGCCCCTGGCCCCGGGCGCCAGCACAGGCTCACGTGACCACTCACGGGACAGGCCGGCTCCCAGCTCAGTGCCTGGTCCCCCGGGTGGTAGCGGATGGCGTCCCACAGGGCCTCTGTCTCTGCAGGGACCCTCCCCCAGGGGCTCCAGTCAGCGGAGCCCCCGCCCACGTCTGTGTGTGTCCCGGCGCCGGTGCGGCGTCCGGCAGCAGAGCCGAGAGCGGGCAACCCTCCTCCGCCCCTCGGACAGCCGCTCTCAGAACACTTGCTTCTTCCACGCGAGCCAGGCCAGGGCGCGTGCATCCGTGTGCACCGGGCGCGTGCACCCGCACCGGGCGCACACGCGCTTGCGCACACACGTGTCTATGCACAGACTGCCACAGGAAAGGGCCTGGCTACATGCCGTCCACGGCAGGCTCACGCGGGCACGGGGCCTGTCCGCACGCTTCCTCCCCACTGTGTCCCCCTCTGGCTGAAGCAGGCCGGCCCCCACCCTGCCGGGCACGGCTGACCTACTCTCCCCCCACCCCTACTCCACACCATAGGGCACTTGCCATCTTCGAAGGGACAGGCCTGCATCCGCACGGCGTCAGGGGTCGCAGACCAGCCCTGCCGGAGGGGCTGGGGTCAGCGCAGGCCCTGCCCCTCCCTCCGTCTCCTCCCGGCAGTGGAGGCCACACTCTCACTGACCTCAAGGCAAAGGCAGGGCAGCTCTTGGCTGTAGGGCAGAGACACGGTGCGGGACATCCTGTTCACTGTCACCTGCGTGGAGTGGAGGGCTTAGGGGCTGGGGGCCCAGTGGGTGGGACTGGGCCAGGCTGGGCAGGCCTGGGGTGGGGGGAGGGGCAGGGGCGTGGTCTGGGGGGCTGGGCGGTTGGGTGGGACGAGGGCGGGGGGTGTGGTCTGGGCCAGGGGGCGGTGTCCAGGGCTTGGGCCTGGGCTCACCCGCACCGGGGAACCCACATCCTCGCAGGTGAACCACTTGAGGCAGAGCCGGACGTAGTAGTCGGGGGCCCCGGGGGCCTCGGGCACCTGGACCAGAATGACCTTGCGGCTGCGGTCCACCCAGTAGGAGAACTTCTCGACTATAAAAGGGCGGCAATTGGGGGCCACGCGGGGACTAGCGGTCATCGGACAAAGGTCTCCACCTGTCCTGAGAGCCTCCAAATGGTGACCCCTTGCTAGACCCAGGCATTTGGGAGTCGCCCACCTGAGGACCCATCATGACTTCCCAAGTGGGGCAGGCAGAAGACCCCCATGGGAGGGTGTGTGGGGGTCTCCCCAGGGGCTGCGGGGCTGCAGTCCCACCTGCGGACGGGGCCTCACCAAAGCAGACAGGCACGTTCCTCCCCACGTCCTCGTCTCTGCAGTCTGCAAATGGCACAGCAATGGGGGGCCCAGCCACTCTGTCCCCAGCAGCTATACCCTAGTTGAGCCTCTGCCCTTGTGCTTTACAGAAGTCTCTCCTCTCCCAGGGAGGCCGTGCCCCCAAATGAAGTGAAAGGCACTCGCTGCAAGCTGCCCAGCATGGGGCTCTGCCCCCTACCTCAGGTGTCCCACCCTAAGTTGTCCCTAGAAGCCAGTGGCAGCTGTACCCGGGGCCAGCCCCATGGGCTCCCACCTTCCACATGGTACTGCTGGTCCAGCTGGACCCCACAGAAGTGGGGGACGGTCCTCAGGGTGACGTAGAGGCTCTGAGCCACACTCACTTCGAAGCAATCAAAATGCACCTGGAGCTGGGCATGCACAGGTGTGAGCCAGGTGGGCATGAACAGGTGTGAGCCAGGTGGGCATACACAGGTGTGAGCCAGGTAGACCTGTGGTCTCTAGCTACCCATCCCTGGCCAGGCCAGCTGCACCTCGCATAGCTGGAACCCAGGAGAAGGGTCCCCTGTCCTCAGGCCTTGGGTGGATTGGGTGGATCCAGGAAGGGAGCGCAGCCAGGGGACAGCTGTTCCTGCCTGGCAAAGGCTTGGGGCAGGACCAGCAGGTCTGGGTCAGGCCCTGGCCTCACCTGCCGCCCCACCTGCCGTCGACGAGAGGCCCTGGAGACCCGCACGTTTTGACACTGGGTCTCCTGGGTGTCGAGATTCATGGAGCAGGCCTCCAAGCCCCGCAGGCTATCTGGGTGAAGGGAGGAGCCAGAAAGAGCTGGTCTGACCAGGGCATTGAGTCCTCTTTCTTCCCCTCCTCTCTGGGCAGTGCAGTTAGCAGGGTCCCCTAGCCCTACCCTGCCCCTTGAAGTGTTGTGGAGTTAAAGGAGCCGCGAGCCCACCACCTCGCTTCCTGGGTGTTCCCACCATCGCAAGCAGCATGGCCCCTCCCCTGCCCCCCGAGGCTGCCTCTCACCATGCAGTATGAGGGAAGCCTGCACACGCAGGAGTAGGGAGCAGCCCTCGTGGGGGGCACACTTCATGGCAGTGGTGAGTTTCAGGGCCTCCAGGACCGACGGGGACATGGATGTGGGGGGTTGCCGGCAGAAGCTGTTAAAAATGTTCCCTGGGGAGGAGAGAAGGTGGGTGAGTGCCGCAGGGCTCCCCAGTGCCTGGGTAAGTCTTTGTGGGTGGCCCGGGCAGTGGAGGAAGCCCTGGTCTGGCATGTCTGGGGGGGGGTTCCTCGCTCTCTTGCTCCAGTGCAATCAGCGAACAGTGGACCCACCTGGAGCCAGCTGTCTTCGGGCGTCAGGAGCGGGGCCAGGCTGGGGAGCAGGCTACACCTGAGGGTGGGTAGCTGCTGCCCCGCCTGGCCAGCATGGGCGCAGGGGACCCTGACTTCTGACAAGCTGGCAAGCCCATCGCTGCCCTTCAAAGGCCTGCGGGGGCACCTGGCTCGTGACCCCAAGGTCACCAGAGCCCAGGGCTCTGTTCACAGGCCAGCAGGTAGACTGGAGCAGGTGAGGCTGGCCCTAGGCCTTGGTGGAGCTGGGGTCTCACTTCCAGGCATAGGGGCTGAGCGCAGTTGTGGCCTTCGCTTGGCCAGGCTTGCAGCTGAGGACTTGGAGGACAGTGGGGTTAGCCCCGTGAGCCGTGGAGCCCTGGGGAGGTCTGTGCCCCACAGAGTCAGCAGCCCAGGTGCCCCCCTACATCTAAGGTTGTGGCCCATCTGCAGGCACGAGAGATGGTGTTCAGGCCTGGGGCTACGGGCGGTGGAGGAAGTAACCCCGAGGTGGGACCGCGTGTCCAGGAAGGGGAAGGTGTGTGTGCTCAGTGGGTGCTTCGGGGGCCCAGAACTTCCAGGGGCCCCCAAGGCAGACCCTAGGGGATCTGTCAGGAAGATCTCGCTGGGGCTAGAACTCCGGGGGAAGTGCTGACACTACAGAGGAGAGGGTCCCGCCATCAGACCAGGCCGAACTGCTAACTCGCAAGTGAAGGGGGAACAGAATGAGATGGCGCATCCAAGACACCTCTGCGGGGAGATGTGGCAGAAATGGATGCTCCTCAGAGGCCCCAGCCCTGAACTGTGGCAGGACTTGAAGGGGCAGAGCAGCTGCCCCTCCCGGGGCCCGGGGCCACAGGCTGTTTCTGCTCCAGGACCTTCTCCAGCGACATGCAAGCAGGTGGGCTATGGAGAAGGCAGGTTGCCCCAAAGCCAGGTCTTTGCAGGAGGCAGTGGTGCTTCCCCTGGGGCCTGGATGAACATGCTGTTGGTACTCGCCATGGAGCCTGTCACTCGACAGAGCTCAGACGGACTGGCTTCAGAAAGAGACTCAAGGGGACAGCAGGAGGTACAAGATCCAAATATGTTCATGGGAAAGAAATCCAGTTCTGTGGATCCCACCGTGGCCTAGATGGAGTCATGGAGATCAGCTTTACCTTCCTGCCTGACACAGCCTGGAAAGCCAGACAGAATACGTAGAGAATGGTTTCAGGACACAACCTGATGAAAACTAAACTCACAGATCCAAGTTGGTGAGCGCAAAGTATAAGAAAGATGGAAAAAATTACGAGGCAGACCACGATCAATTTGCTGGAAGCCAGTGGCAAAGAAAAATTGTAGAAGCCACCAGAGGAAAAAGGCACGTTATGTAGAAAGAACAAAGGACATGAGAACAGCAAGTTTCTTGTGGGAGAAGGCGGAAGAGCCCCCACAGTGCTGAAGACAAGCCTGCCAACCGGGTGCTCTACCACAGGGAGGGGTCTTAAAATGAAGGGTAAATAAAGACTTCTTTAGCACACAAAAGCTGAAAGAATTCCTCATCAGAAGATCCACACTACCAAAAAAAAAAAAAAAAAAAAAGTCATGGGCTGGACCCCCGAGTGTCAGACTCTGCACTCAGCACGGAGTCGGCTCGAGACCCTCTTCCCTCCCACTCGTTCTCTCTCTCTTTTTCTCTGAAATAAATCAATCTTTAAAAAATAAAATAAAATATGTCTGGAGAACCTCCCAGTATTTGGAAACTAAACAATACACTTCTAAATAGCCTTTGGGCCAAAGAAGATATGAAAAGGGAAAATAGAAATTACTTTGAACTGAATGAAAATGAAAAGACAACATATAAAAACATTTGGATGCTGCCAAAGCACTATTTTTAGGGGAGAATTTGTAGCACTAAACTCCTATATTAGAGAAAAAAATCTCAGGGGCGCCTGGGTGGCTCAGTCCTTAAGCATCTGCCTTCGGCTCAGGTCGTGGTCCCAGGGTCCTGGGATCGAGCCCCACGTCAGGCTCCCTGCTCAGCGGGGAGCCTGCTTCTCCCTCTGCCACTGCCCCCCCCCTTGTGCTCTCTCTTTCTCACTCTGTCTCTCCAACAATTAAATAAATAACCTTTAAAAGAAAAAAATATCTCACATTAGTGACCTCAGCTTCCACCTTAAGGAACTGGAGAAAGAAGAGTAAATGCACACCCTTAAACTAATGCTAAATTACATGTCAATTATATCTCAAACTGGAGAAGAAAACGTAACAAAACCCAAAGTAATCAGAAGGAAAAAAGAAAGATCAGAGTGGAAACCAATGAAATAGGAAACAGAAAAGCAATAGAGAAAAGTCAATGAAAACATATGTTTAAGAAAAAAATACTACCAGTTCTACATGGATTCTTCCAGAAAACCGATGAAGAGGGAACAGTTGGAACTCATTCTCTGATATCAAAACCTGACAAAAACATTACTAAAAGAGAAAACTACAGATACCTCATGGCCATAGAGTAGAAACTCTAAACAAAATTTTAGTAAATGGAATCCAACAACATATAAAAGGATAACACATAATTACCAAGTGTGGTTTGTCCTAGAAATACAAGATTGGTTCAATGTTAGAAAATGAATCACTATAGGGCAATCCTCTCGGGTCCGCTCCCTCTTTGGGAGCTTTGTACTCTCACTCAATAAACCTTGCTTTGCTGCCTACCAAAAAAAAAAAAAGAAGAAGAAGAAAGAAAAAAAATCAATCACTATAATTATGTTAACAAATTTTGAAAAACACATATGATCATCTCAATAGTCATAGCAAAATTATTTTACAAAATTCAATATCTATTCTTAAACTCTCAGCAAACAAGGAATGTAAAGAAATGTTCTCAATCTATGGGAAACCTATAGTTAATATCACGCTTGCCAGTGAAAGATAAATTGTTTTCCCCTAAGATCAGGAACAAGATCAGGATCACTGCTCTGATCACTTCTACTCAACATTGTATTAGAGACTTGAGTCAGTGCAATAAGGCAAGAAAACAAACTTCCTTTTTAGTTTGGAAAGAAGTAAAGCTGTCTTCACTCACAGATGACGTAGTTGTCTCTGTAAAAATATAATGGAATCTACAGAATGAGTTTAGCAAATGCAAGAATCAAGATCAATATACAAAAATACACTCTATTTCTGTATACTAGCAAAGAACAATTACAAATTGAAATTTTAAAAATACCATTTACAATAACATAAAAATATGAAATACTTAGGAACAAATTTGACAAAAGAGGTATAAAATCTATGCCCTGAAAACTACAAAATATTGCTGAGGGAAATTAGAGAAAACCTAAATAAATGGAGAGGTACACTGGGCTCATGGGGCAGAAAATCAAAATTGCTAAGATGTCAATTCTCCCCAAATTGATCCATAGACTTAGTGAAATTGTGATCAAAATCCTCCTTGTAGAAGGCCTCCCCCCCCCATAAACTGACAAGCTGATTCTAAAATTCACTTGGAAATGCAAAGGATCTGGAATAGTCAAATCGTCTATGATAAAGAAGAACAAAAGTGAAGGCCAACACTGCCTAATTTCAGGACTTACTATAAAGTAATCAAGTGCAGGGATTAGGGCAGTGTGGTATTAGCATCACGATAGACAAATGGATGGAACAGAATAGAGTCCCCGAAAAGACCCACCCATGTATGGATGGTTGATTTTCCACAAGCATGCTGGGCTGCCCACTGGGAAAGGGACAGTCTTTTCAATGGATAGTGCTGGGTCAACTGGATGTCCATATGCAAACAAACAAACAAAAAAGAACTTTAATCCATACCTTGCACTCCATGCAAAGGTCACTCAAGATGCACTGATGATTTAAATGTAAAATCTAAAACTATAACACTTAAAAAAAAACATAGTAAAAAAAAATCTTTGTGACCTTGAGTTAGGCAAAGATTTCTTAGCTACAACACTGAATCATGACTGTCAAAGAAAAAATTGATAAATTGGACTTCATAAAAATTTATCTTTGAAAGATACGGGTAAGAGAATGAAAAGACAAGTCACAGGCTGAGGGAAAATACTTGCAGATCGTCTATCTGGTAAGGAACTTGCATTCAGAATCTGTAAAGACTTCTCCAAATTTAATAATAAGGAAACCAACAACCCAGTAAAGAAAAGATCTGAACAGATTCTTCATATAAAAGATAAAAGTGGCCAGTGAGCACACGAAGAAATGCTCAACATCAGTTAACATTAAGGAAATGCACATTTAAACCACAATGAGTCAGTATTAAGTATTAGAATGGCAAAAATGGAAAGGACTGACCATACCTAGTGCAGATAAGGATGTTGAGGAATGAGAATTCTTGTACATTGCTGGTGGGAGCATAGAATGTCACAAACACTTCTTTAGAAGTTAGATATACACCTACTGTATGATATAGCCATTCTGTGCCTTGATATTTACCCAAAAGTAACAAGAAAGACTTGTCTACGAATGTTGATAGTGGTTTAATTTTTAGCAGCCCAAAACCCAAGTGTCCATCAACAGGTGAGTGGGCAAACAGACGGTGGTATAGCCATGCAATGGAATGGGCTTTTGACACAACACACGGATGAATTGAAATATAATGGTGCTGAGTGAAAGAAACCAGACACAAGAGTACACACTGCCTGATTCCATGCATATAAAATTTTAGGAAATGTGAACTAATCTCTATGGAAAGATCTGTGGTTGTCCATTATCCTGACTGTGGTCACAGTTTCGCAGGTGTATACGTATGTAAAATCTTAGCAAATCGAATACTTGGAATATATACAGTTTGCT